TATAAAATCAATGCACAGAAGTCAGTGGCATTCCTATACACCAACAACAACACAGAAGAAAGAGTAATTAAGGAGTCGATCCCATTTACAATTGCACCCAAAACCATAAGATACCTAGGAATAAATCTAACCAAAGAGACAAAGGATCTGTACTCAGAAAACTATAAAATACTCATGAAAGAAATTGAGGAAGACACAAAGAAATGGAAAAACGTTCCATGCTCATGGATTGGAAGAACAAATATTGTGAAGATGTCAATGCTACCTAGAGCAATCTACACATTCAATGCAATCCCCATCAAAATACCATCCACTTTTTTCAAAGAAATGGAACAAATAATCCTAAAATTTGTATGGAACCAGAAAAGACCCCGCATAGCCAGAGGAATGTTGAAAAAGAAAAGCAAAGCCGGCGGCATCACAATTCCGGACTTCAAGCTCTATTACAAAGCTGTCATCATCAAGACAGCATGGTACTGGCACAAAAACAGACACATAGATCAATGGAACAGAATAGAGAGCCCAGAAATGGACCCTCAACTCTATGGTCAAATAATCTTCGACAAAGCAGGAAAGAATGTCCAATGGAACAAAGACAGTCTCTTCAACAAATGGTGTTGGGAAAACTGGACAGCCACATGCAGAAGAATGAAACTGGACCATTTCCTTACACCACACACAACAATAGACTCCAAATGGTTGAAAGACCTCAATGTGAGACAGGAGTCCATCAAAATCCTAAAGGAGAACACAGGCAGCAACCTCTTTGACCTCAGCCGCAGCAACTTCTTCCTAGAAACATCGCCAAAGGCAAGGGAAGCAAGGGCAAAAATGAACTATTGGGACTTCATCAAGATAAAAAGCTTTTGCACAGCAAAGGACACAGTCAACAAAACCAAAAGACAACCGAAAGAATGGGAGAAGATATTTGCAAATGACATATCAGATAAAGGGCTAGTATCCAAAATCTATAAAGAACTCATCAAACTCAACACCCAAAGAACAAAGAATCCAATCAAGAAATGGGCAGAAGACATGAACAGACATTTTTCCAAAGAAGACATCCAAATGGCCGACAGACACATGAAAAAGTGCTCAATATCGCTCAGCATCAGGGAAATCCAAATCAAAACCTCAATGAGATACCACCTCACACCAGTCAGAATGGCTAAAATGAACAAGTCAGGAAACGACAGATGTTGGCGGGGATGCGGAGAAAGGGGAACCCTCCTCCACTGCTGGTGGGAATGCAAGCTGGTGCAGCCACTCTGGAAAACTGTATGGAGGTTCCTCAAAAAGTTGAAAATAGAGCTACCATATGATCCAGCAATTGCACTACTGGGTATTTACCCCAAAGATACAAAAGTAGGGATCCAAAGGGCTACGTGCACCCTGATGTTTATAGCAGCAACGTCCACAATAGCCAAACTGTGGAAAGAGCCAAGATGTCCATCGACAGATGAATGGATAAAGAAGAGGTGGTATATATATACAATGGAATATTATGCAGCCATCAAAAGGAATGAGATCTTGCCATTTGCAACGACGTGGATGGAACTGGAGGGTATTATGTTGAGTGAAACAAGTCAAACAGAGAAAGACATGTATCATATGATCTCACTGATACGAGGAATTCTTAATCGCAGGAAACAAACTGAGGGTTGTTGGAGTGGGGGGTGGAGTGGGAGGGATGGGGTGACTGGGTGATGGACACTGGGGAGGGTGTGTGCTCTGGTAAGCGCTGTGAATTGTGCAAGACTGTTGAATCTCAGATCTGTACCTCTGAAACAAATAATGCAATATATGTTAAGAAAAAAAGAAGAAGAAGAAGAAGAAGGTAGCAGGAGGGGAAGAATGAAGCGGGGGAAATCGGAGGGGTAGACGAACCATGAGAGACGATGGACTCTGAAAAACAAACTGAGGGTTCTAGAGGGGAGGGGGGTGGGAGGATGGGTTAGCCTGGTGGTGGGTATTGAGGAGGGCACATTCTGCATGGAGCACTGGGTGTTATGCACAAACAATGAATCATGGAACACTTCATCTAAAACTAATGATGTAATGTATGGGGATTAACATAAGAATAAAAAAAAATTAAAAAAAAAAAAAAAGAACGATCTTAGACCAAGTGTATAAGCACACCCCTCAGACTGGTGCTGATATAAAAGCGGTCAGAGACAAAACACTGAAGTTGTCCTTATTACTTTTCCAGTGTTAAAATATGATAACAAATGACTCATGCTTAGATTGTTATCGCCCTTACTGGCCAAATAAAAAGTCAGTGACCCATCAATCCCCCCCAAAAAATCCTAAATGTCAGGATAACAAATACAGGATAAATCTACTATGTATGCGTAGAGCGGGAAAGGGAATGGAAGGTGGAAGAGAAGCACAGGCAAAAAAATGAAGAACGAAAACTTGCAGGGTCAAAAGGAAGCAGACCCTACTTTCACATTTAACACTGACTTACAGACTTGAAAGAGAATGGTCTGGCCAACAGGTGCAAACAAAATAAAGCTTTGCAAATTTCAAGATCTTATTCAGAAAAGATTACAAGCATTGAGGCAAGTTTTCATTATACGATGGGGGAAATTTTTTTAAAAGATGACAAGTTTGGATTTTAAAATGAAAGAAAAGCTCATAATTTTCAACAATACTAGGGAAAGGGGATTTTAAAATGTATCATTAATTAATTTTCTTCCATAAAAGCTACATTCAGAAGATTGTTAAAGCATGGACTGTAGAGTCAGCCAGCCAGAGTGCCAGCTCTGTGTTAGCATAGGACTTTTACCCTCTTCTCTGCTTCAGTTTCCTTAAAGATTGTTGTGAGCATCACATGAGTTAAGACACATAAAGTGCTTAGAACAGTGTCTGGCACTTTGTGCTTCAAAAGCACTGTCATACATACTATTTAAGAACATGAAATAACAATGATAAAGGAACAGAATGAAGACTATAACAATTACAGTGCTAAAAATAATTGATGTTACACTTCAATAGAGTTTTTAAAAAGTAAGGTACAACCATTTTTATAGACATAAAGTATGAGGTTAAGTATGACACTTTTCAATTTACATTTTCTTAATTAGATTAGGAAAAAACCTGAATCCATGTAGGATAACCTCAGCAGGTGGAGACCCTAAATTCTTGACCAAGTTTGCTTCCAAGGCTCAGGAATGCATTGCTCAACTGAGGCTGCATCTGAGAGAAAAAGCAAACACTCAATACTGTCACCAATAAAAGAAAATTTCATCCAGCAATGGATTCAGAGACACAGGATTCATAGTCTATAAGTTGATAAAACCCAACTACCCATAGCTGAGTCCTTCAGCTAGAAATACACCAAGCTTCCATGGAAAATTCACAGGCCAGGTGATGTATGCACCACAGCATGGACACCTGGTACCTGCACTCCTCCAGTTGGGGCAACTCACCCCAATACTACTATCCCCTTCCCTGGTATCCCTACATAGCCTGTTCACTCTTCATAAAGTATCACCCTAAGGGGAACTTTCTTCAGTTCATCCTGCCTTTTCCCCCTTCTCTCAAAACCACCTCTACACTCAGGATGAATTAAGGCTCTTATTCACTGACACCTCATTTTATTTCTTAGCACACACATTATCCACATCCTTGCTACTCAAGAATTGTTCCTTGTCCAGCAGCACCTAGGAGCTTTTAAGAAATGCAGAATATCAAAATGCATCACAGATCTACTAAATCAGAATTTGCATTTTTAAACCAGGGCCCCAAGGGATTCCTATGCACATTAAAGTTTGAGAAGCACTGCTTTGACTCCATTGCAGATAGTTGTAAAAATTTTAAGTGCTCAAGTTTACATTTGAATTTAGCGATATTGTATGAAAATTCCAAGATGTGTAATCAGAAAAGCTCATTAAGAAAAATGACCAACATATAAATGAATTTAAGTGTTCAAAGGTTTATTTTCAACAATGCCTACATTTACTACGTCCTGCTTTAAGTCAGTATTTTGTGCAATAGCACACTACTAATATACAGTTTCCCTGTACTGTATTTTGTTGTACAAAGAGTACAAATAATGACTGGTTCTAGAAATCTCCACGCCATCAGGCCCAAAGCTGTGCAACCTGTACGCTACAAGCTCGGGATTTAGTCCAATTCGGAGATGACAAACAGAACTCATTCCTGAAAACTATTATTCAGGAAAAAATCTTTAGGATGTGAACTTTAAATCATATTCCTGAAACTAAAACTAGTTAATGGCTGGTATTGAACAAACTCTAGGTCATTTGTAGAATCAAAAATTGTTTAGGAGGTTTGTGTTCGTTTTTCCAGGAAAAGCAGGGAAGAGGGGGAATCAACTTTCACAAAGTTTTTCTCATCCTTGAAGGCCTCAACTTGCATGTTCTTACAGGTGAATAAACTTAAGTCGTACTAAAACAGGGCCACGTTTCTCTCCTCAAAGCTGAAAGGCTTCTCTAGTCTAAAGGCTGCATTTTAAAAGGTTTGGAGATTCCGGGCCCGTTTCGCTTCCGGCCTCCGAAGGAAGCGTGCTGCCCAGGGCTGATATGAACAGGGAAATTTACCAAGTAGGAAGTTGAGCCACAGTCCAACCACCAGGCTCTACCCTCTTGCAGCAGTCGGCCTTGCAGCCTATACCCCAACCTCCCGAGGCAGGGAAGGCAGGCGGACCGGGGGGAAGCAGCCCCCTCGCCCTACCCGCCCTGGGGCTAGAGGAGCCTCCCTCCCGCCACCCAGCCCCCACGATGATCCGGGAAGCGCACAAACGGGGGCGCTGCGACTACCCGTTCGCGGCGACAGCAGCAGCAGCAGCAGCACCCTCAGGCCCTCCCGTGAGGCGGCGGCAGCTGCAGCAGCGGCGCTGGGGGAGGCGGGAGTGGTCCTGAGAGGCAGAGGGGGAGGCCGGGGCGGGAGCGACTGCATGTGGGGCTGCACTGGAGGGAGGCGGAGGCGCTCAGGGGCTCGGCTTTTTTACGATTATCATCAGCATCTTGTTTTACCTGTGGCGCAGAAGGGCTCCCCAGCTCCTATTCCCTGAATCCTCCTCCTCCCCTCCTCTTTCTCTCTCTCTCCCTCAGTCTCTGCCAGGCGCTCGTGGAACCGGCCGGGCCCGGCCCGACCAGAAAGAGAACAGGGCGGCAGGGGGCGGTGGCGGCGGTGACCAGCGACCACGTGACCACGCTCGCGCCGTAACGGCGGCCGCCTCCTGCCGCGCGCCCTCCCCGCGCTCCACCTCTAATAACCCCGCGGCTCGAACGCCCAGGACGCTCGTGCGCAGGCGCCCGCCCGGCCTGGAGGCTGCGCGAGCGCGCAACGCGCTCGCTCTCGGGGCCCAGGCTGTGGGGCCATGCGAGGCGCGACGTGGGGAGTGAGTCGCAGGCCAAACCCTCTGCTGAGCCGGCCGACTACTAGGGCGCATGCGCGGGAGGGCTCTTTCCACCTCCCCGCCCCCCGCCAAACTTTCTCCTTATCCTCTCTCATTCCCCCAGCAGCACGCAGCTGTAGCCTCAGGAACCTGCCACCTGGACTTCACCACTCACACCCACCACCGCCTTCCCACGGTGAGACTGAGAGTAAGAGAGATGTCAGCCTCTGAGAAACTCCTAATAGGCTGGTCCTCCTGCCTCAGAATTTACATTTCCTAGTTGCGTGTAAATGGCCTTCCGTTGGACATTTTTCCACAGCTGAGTAGACTCCTATTCATGCTTCAGGACCCAGCCAGTCACTTACGCTGAAACCTACTCTACTCTGCTTTGGGGAAGTCATTAACATTTTGTGGAGATCTACTTTGTTATAACCTATATAAATCTTTTTTTTTTTTTTTTTTTTTACAAATCAATACTAGGCTCGGATTTTATCTCTGCTCGTAAAACCTAGGACAGTATGTGTCTTCAGCGTTGTGGTATCTCAGTAAAATTCTGATGACTATCAGAACACAAGCAATGCCTAAACTCTGTCTTTGTCCTCCACCTCTGCTTATGATTTAAGATTCCCTTTACCCTAGCACACGGAACGCTGGTGTTCGTTTCTCAAATATGAAAGCCTTTGAATGGGAATGCTAATTAGAGTGGCAAATGCTTCACCTAGTAAAAAAGATTTATGGTCTTTTATTAGCCTATCTTCGCAAAGAGCTCCAAAAGAAACTGATACTGTTGAGTCCGGAAGAAGGAAACCAAGGCAGAAAAAGGTCAAATTTTCAAAGGTTGGCTAGCTTCCGTGGAGGGTCTCTGTGTGGGAGACCTTTGTTCACAAACACCCCCCTTCACATAGGGATTCCCTATCTTTCTGTTGGCCCTCTTTGTTGCAGGAGCTGGACGGGTTAAGTTAATGCCTCTCACCAGGTCTAATCAGGGCACATAATTAAAATGTAAAAACCTACTAAACGGCATTTCTGGCTAAGTCCTGTCATCATTACCGTTGAACAAGGGGACTACCGAGATGATGTTCAAGAACCATAACTAGCAACAAAATTCCAGAAAATGTTGGGATAAATGTTAATCGAGAAACATTATTAACAAGGGCTTGTGAGAAACTAGGAAAATCACAACCCTCAAGCCTCCAATCTGATAGGTCTGAAATGTTGATGGACTTTTTTATGCATTTACCGATATATACACAGGTACAGTGATCCCACCTGATAGTTGCAGCTACCACCTAGGATATGCTCGTAGCACCCCATTCTAAATATATCCAGTCCAAGGTTCAGACTATGAGAAACTATTTTGGTGGCCTATGATGAACCCCAACATCCATGGCCTTGTGTAATACTCTCCACTTGAATGTGGGCTGGACTTGTCACTGCTTTAAACAATCAAATGTGGCAACAACGACTGCCAGTTCCAGGCTGAGGCCTTAAGAAGACTTTGCAGTGACAACATTGAAATTTACTGGAACCTGTACTCATGGAAAATAATGATTAAGAAATCCCCCCTACCTGTTTGTGTTCTGGGGCATGGCTTACCACAAAGAACCACCCTTCCCCATATGACTTAGACGAGACTCTTTGTCCACTCTTTCTCAAAAGACTAGCAGATGACTTCTTATTGACCTGTGACAAGACCAAAACCAGATCTTTCCCTTTTTGCTTGAACCTGTTGACAAGGTCAGGCACAAACCCTTCAACCTCCTTGTTGAGATTAGGACTGTTTGTTACCTTGAAATTAGCTAGACACAGAGATAAACATGCCCTGGCCAACTAAGACATCTCCTAATTACAAAACAGTTCCAACTGATGCAGGGTCCAAGGACCTGGCGGGGTTCCCGCAGGACCAGCCAAGAGGGTCCTTGTCTTTGCACAAGATAGAAATCAAATGCAAAGCTCAGACCTTTGGAGATCACTCTCCTCTGAGCCTGCTGGCATTAAATAAACCTCCTATCCTCCAAGATCTCTGAGGGCCGCTTGGTTCTTCTGTCTGGCAATCCAGTCCGGTTCTGTAACAGATTCAATGAGTCATCCATAAAATCACACATGCTTACAAAGCTTTGGTTCGACACAATCAAGGAGTTGTTCTACACCCAGGTCGAGATGAAGCAGCACTTCGCCAGCATGTGTGGATCAAGAACCCAAGAAGCAGAGGAAGCCATGAGGTAGTAAGCTGTTCAGAAAGTAGCCAACAATCGTGGCATGGCTTTGGACTTCTGTAGCAAATGGAAATATGGGGGTCAATCCAGTTATATCTAAACCACCAAGGGTCAGATGAACTCCTGGAAGCACATGACTTACTCCAATTTGTAAAGACGCAGGAAAGAGTTCACATTGTTTCCAAGTTTGCTCTGTTAGGGGGCTGTGATTTTTAACCTGTAATAAAATTCTTCAGTTCAATCCTTAAAAAAAAAAAAAAGAACTCAAATGCAAGCCAAGATGAGAGTTTATTGAAGACATAGAGAGAGTGCAGACAGAGCATCTGGGTGACTCAGAAAGAAAGAAGAATCAGTTTCATCTTTACTTGGGGTCTGTTGTTTTTATTGAGGACTGTAGCCTCTTGCACATGCCTTCTCAGACATCCAGGAACAAATATGTGTGTTTAAGTGTTTTCCATAAGTCATTTATGCCCCGGAGCCGGAGTCTTGAGAAAATGTTCATGAAAACCCCACCTGGTCACTCCTTAGATGTTATATATTGTGCTGGAAGACTCCAAAGAAATCATTAACTCCTTGACATTTGCAAGGAAGACATACATTATCTGTACTATAAGGCATGTGTAGGGTGATGGTGTAGGTCCTAGTAAGAAAAGAGGAAGCAAAAAAGCCATCTTTCATGGGGTTCCTTCAGTTTCCCTATCTCACGACTATAAGTCATCCCACTGATAACCTGTCTACTCCTTCCTGTAAAAGTACAAGGCAAAGCCCTGCGGAAACACTGTGATCTTCAAATCTGGGTACTCTTTCCATTGCAGTAATCTGCATAAAATCTATTTCCTTGTTCATTCAGTTTTGTTTTTGACAACAGCTTCCGTTTTTGCCCTTTGGAGGAAGCACCATGTAAGAAATCTAACTACTCCAAGACTACCATGCTGTCAGAAGTCTAACCTAGCCATTTCAAGAGGCCAAATAGAGGAAAACTGAGGACCTGGGCTAACAGCCCCAGCTGTGCTCCCATTGGACACAACACAATCGACCACACGTGTGAGTGAGCCATCTTGGAAGTGGATTCTCCAGCCCCATCAGGTTGCCCCAGCTGATGCCACAGGGAACAGAGACGAGCTATTCTCCACCATGCCCAAATTGTAGAATTGTGGGTAAATAAATAAAAGCGTTGTTTAAACCACTCAGTTTTGTGGTAGTTTGTTAGGTAGCAATAATAACCAGAATAGACCTATGTATCCAACTGTCTGCTAGAGATGTGTCCCAAGTGTCCCCACAGGCACCCCAAACCCAACCTGCTCAAACTGAATTTTGCAAATCTCCTCCAAACCTGTCTCTTCTTCTATGTCCTCTATCTTCTGTTGGTAGTGCATTCATCCCCCCAAGGCTCCCAACAGAAAACCTGGGAGCTTTGCCTGACTCCTCTATATCCTACAGCATTCAGTCACCAAGTAATGGGCTTTCTTCTCCAGCTCCACCCACATCTCACCTCAGATCCTCCTCATCTCTCTCCTGAACTACTGAGTACTGAGAATTAGTCAGGTTTTTCCATGTTGCAAGGAAGAGTCATACATGTACCCAGATTACCTTAGAGGTTTATTGTCAGGCAGGGAGTGAAGAGACGTGGAAAACCAGCCCAGTCATCTCCCATCACCTGTGTTGGGTGGTTTCAGGCTGGGAGGCCCAGCTGGCCTTTTGGAAAACCACAGAATGGCCCCATCCTTGAGGCCACAACTGTAGCTCTAGGGATTCAGCTTCTCTCTAGTGTCTCACATCCTTAATCTACAAAAGAAAACCTGAGGGGTCTGTTAGTCCCCAACTGCTACAGAGTACCCTGACAGGGCTGAGACTGGCCTGCAATCTAATCTAGAAAAAGAAACTAAAGTAATAAAGCTGATGATTAATAACTCCATAAAGCATAAACATTGTATGAAAATTCATTTTGAGTTATGCTACTTATAATACAATTCATATTTTAAGGTAGAAACATTAAATTTGAATCAACATGAGCATTCTTAGAAAAATAGCAATTAAGACACTTAATTTTGCTGCAACCTGGTTCTCTGCCTTGGCATCTATGTGCATTCTCTGTCTCAGGACATGACAGAAAGTGAAGTGCATATGTGAGCACGCGTGCACACACACATACACACACACACAAATGCAGATGTTCTCTAGGAAAGGTAGAAGCTTCTCCTAGGCCTCTGCCACTGGGGACACTCAGCCTGGACCCTTTTGGCCAGGGCAACACCCACATCCCCTCTCCTGGCTCTTTTCTCTTCCACTACACTCAACACACCTAGGTAAATAGGTCACATTCAGATCCTGAAATTGCCATAGGGACCTAGACTAACATAATAACAAGATGTACATTCTGCAACGTGGCAGTGAGAAGGTATGGTAAGCATGGGCTGTGTGTGGAGCTGGCATTAGGAATTATCTCCTCCCTTAGTAAGTACCTGGTGTAGCATCCAGGGAAATACCTGCTCAGATCTCCTGCTGTAAGGAGCACAGTTGACTTTCAGCCTCAGCTGTGGCCTTGCCAGATCCACCACTG